ATTTGCTGCTGAGCAATTTCTGCAAATCTGTCCAGTTACAGGTTACTCACTATACCATAGTTAGACAAATCATGATTTAGTACAACTAACTATGCTTTGTAATGAGGACCAACTTTGCATCTCAGTAGCCCCTCCAAATGATAATAGGCATCAATAGAGGAAAACTCTTTTAGGGAAATAAAAAGCTGCCTTGCTAACAATCAGCATTTTACATGTAGCCACTTAGTAGTACAGCATCAACAGCAGGTGCACTTCCACAAGTTGTGACACATGACTTTTGGTTAAACTGCAGAACACAACTATTCAGGTGCACGTTTGCTTGCAGCAAGCAGAGGCTGACTTTGTGGCTTAAAAGATGTTAGCAGCTAGACATTGTTTTAGGATTTTAATTCTGTTGGCACTCCTTGCTAATTTTCAATTTAAGCTGACACTTCTTTTTAAAAAAGCTTTGTAGACAAGTATTTTTTAAAAAATCAGTTGTAAGTACAGTGGTACCTTGGTACACATTGTTAATTGCTTCCAGGATATGCAATGAGTACTAAAAACAATGAGTATCAAACACATTTTTCCCATAAGGAAGCCAACACCCACAAGTTCTAGCTTGTGCATTGAGTATCAAACAAATAATGAGTACCAGGACAAAATTTTCGTGTCACAATGCATTGAGTACCAAATTCTATGAGTTTCAAAGCAGTTGAGTATGAAGGTACCACTGTAAATATATTAAATTAGTCATCCTCTAAATTGATTCTATCTAGTGAATTGGGGAGCTATAATCTACATCAGGAAGATACCCCATTGGGAAAGATTGATTACCTATAAAGAGGTTTGATAGTGATATTTCCACATATATTTTCATTTTTTCTCTTAAAGATATTGTCCCAACATTCCTTTAATAAATCATGGATTAACAAACCATAATGAAAAATCATTTTCATTTCACCAAGTCATTTGAAACCAGGCAAGCAACAACTCTTAACTGACTGGCAACTTCAAAAGACTAAGCAAGAGTGTTATTATGTATAACTGCTGCAAGATTATTATATGCACAAAAATGAACTCTGAAATACCCACAATAGAGGAATGGTTGCTGAAGATGACAAAATTAGCTGAGTTGGCAAACTTGACTTGTTTGATTAATGGAAGAACAATACCTACATTTATTAGTACTGAAAACCTGCCATGGACTTTTTACTGAAAAAAACATGAACTTGTGATTTATGGGTTTAGAAGAATAAACTAGGGAAAGAAAGAAATTATGTTGCAACCATAGAGTAAAATAGAAATGTACTTGTAATTATTGTTAAGACCAGAAGCTGCTTCTGTATAACTTTTTTTTTCTTTTCTGTTTATTTCTTTGCACTTTTTCACTTTTTACTTTTCCTTTGCTTTCAAAAGTTTATTACAGTGGTTTTTTTTTAAAAAAATACACACACATATATACACACTACAATCTCACAATCCGGAGACTTTATGTTTATACACTCTCCTCCCCTGTGAACCTTTATTTAGCAAGTGAAGGAAATCTACTGGCTGTTATACTCTAGTTTCTTTTGGCCCGTCAAATATGCTCAAAATTAATGCTCAAAATGGTGGGAATATTGCTTGGGCTCCATCTGGCAGGTCACACATTCTCTATTGTTGCTATCAATGTCTTGCATTTTAAAACCAAACAAAACCCAAATATTTACAATTATGTTTCATTCTATGTATTTATTTCAACTATTCAGCATTTGTATAAGCCATGGTCTGTGAAATAACAGCGATTCGCTTCACACATCACACTAAGCCAAAGCTAAAGAAACCACCTTATGATTAAGTGGGAAATTTGAACTGAGTTAAGAGTGGGAACTTTTAGATTCCTTACCTCACCTATATCAAGTGAAAGAATACGAACACATACATATATTAATATATCACAACACAGAAATCATCTTTGGACATTGGCTTTCATGGAAACATTTTTTTTTAATTTTTTAACAGTACACTCAATTATTTTAGAAACCTGAAAGGCCAAAAGTTTATTGCATATTTTAATATCCAGTAGAGCGCTAACTCTCCCATTCCACTTTCCAACTTTCTGTTTGTCATGCTTTTCTCTCCCAAGGCTTGGGTTTCTGAGTCATCTGAGATGGTGTTGGACTCCCATTCGTGGCAGAGATATTTAGCTTCTGGAGTCCAGGGATGTCCTGTCCAGTCTGGATCAAGTGAAGGATTTCTGAAAATGACACAGAGGTATCTGGAGCAGGAGATGGGTCAGCCGGGCTATTCTGTATCTCTTCCTTGCTATCACTTCCTGCCCTGGGAAATGCACTTGCGGTCTCTGCTACGGCAGACTCCATTCTTCGGGAAACTAAACCACCACACTGATCCCCCCCGGTCATTAGTGGAAAGGAGGAAACCTCAGGCGCGTACCTAAGCACGGGGAGAGAGATGGGAGAATCACCTTTGCCCGCACTAGCTTCCCGCCCGAGAGAAAGCTTATTCCCAAGTAGTCCCGAGCTCTGGCGTGGATCACTCCTTCATTTGGAGCAGGGGTTCTCAACCTTGGCAACTTTAAGACTTGTGGACTTCAACTCCCAGAATTCCTCAGCCAGCTTTGCTGGCTGAGGAATTCTAGGAGTTGAAGTCCACAAGTCTTAAAGTTGCCAAGATTGAGAACCCCTGATAATTTTTTGGAGGATCGTACACGAAGCAATCCTTACGGATTTTTCCGTAAGTCGTGGGAAACGAGGCAAAGGACTCGGCCTGCCACCCCCTTTGTGATCGCTTTTGTTTGATGCTTCGAAAGAGCAACAGCTCCACGGACTTTTAGGCTGAACATGCTGGGTGCCATTTCCTTCAGAGACCGCTCCCCCCACCCCCGTGCCGTGAATAGCGTGTTTACTGCAAAGCAGGACTCCGCAGAACTTCCTAAAAGCCCGTGAACCTCAGAGACACAGAAAAACCGTCCTATTGCCCTACAGATCCCAGCATCGGCCAGATCTTTCCCGTCCAGTCTGTCCAGAAGCAACGAGTGCTCCGCCTTACCCATTCCAGAGAGGCTCCGGGAAAAAGGACCTTCCGGAATCCTTCTGGTTTCCCGGAAGTTATAATTAAGACGGCCAGGAAGGGGAGTTAGGACAGGCCGTACCAAGATCGATCTATTAGCGGGGAGATGCCACAACTGGTCGCTATTCGGTTCTGCAACTGGTCGCTATTCGGTTCTGAGCCTCTTTTTCCTCTGAGCCTATGATACTAAATGACTGGGGGAGAGCCACCCGGATTTTTGGCAACCCAGGTCTGACATTCATAAGTTTAACTCAGTGTTTTTTCAAACTTGGCAATAGTAAGAAGTATGGATTTCAATTCCTAGAATTCTCCAGCCAGCATTGGGAGTTGAAGTCCACACATCTTAAAAGTTGTCAAGATTGAAAAACACTTGAGTTTAACCCTAGTTTACACTCCATATGAACTTCCAGAGAGGTAGTCTGGTGTGAAAAGGCAAGCGGGATGGGTCCTGGTTAGAATTTGGATGAGAAAGCAATACTATCAAAAGTTGCAGATTTTTTAAAAATTGCAAAACAAAATCCCAGTAGGCAGCAGTGGAAAACTACTTTCACATTTGCCAAGATAATTCTGATTTTTTTTTTACAGCTCACATCAGTTATCTCTAAACTACAGTACATAGATATCTTCATTTTGGATTATTTGTATGTTTGCTTTATTTGTAATTTTTTTGTACTGTTTATGTTTTAATTGTAAGCATCCCAGAGTCAACGAATGTGGAGTGGACAGCTATATAAAATGAATAAATAATTCATGAAGTCACAAATAGCAGAGCTGACTTGGTTTTACTTTTAGCTGAGTTAGTTGTTTGCAAAAGCCACCAAGAATATTGTAGCATTTCAAAGATTAATATATTAATCAGAGAGTACACTCTTAAATGCCTTGACAATAGTGACATAAGAGAATTAAACAGCCATTGTTGAAAATGGATTGGTCAAAGACAGAATTACCTAAGGAATTACTATTAACACATCTGGTCACTATTTTTAGCATTCCCTGTATTTATGACTGTCCCTAATAAAGTTCACATATTGCCTATTTCAAGACTATGTTCTTGAAACTAATGACAGAGTCTGATTCAAGAAAGTTCGTTAGTTTTAAAAGAGTTACAAAACCTGTTCTTGTTGTCTTCCTTATTCCTCCCAATAGATGTTATTAACATGTTCTAAAACCTGTGAGAGATGCTAATTACACTTTGCCTTTAAAACAATCTGTGTGTGTATGGGTGTATATACTGGCTTCCTTTGAAGAAGCAAGATAGGAAAAGTATTGATGCTTTGAAATTTGGTGTTGGAGAAGATTCCTGAGAATATGTGGACAGCCAATAAAACAAACCAGTAGATCACCGAATAAATCAACCCGAAGTTCTCACTTGAGGCACAAATGACCAGGCTCAAATGATCCTACTTTGGATACCTAGCTGTCTGGAAAAAAACTCTTAATGCTAGGAAAGATGGAAAGAAAGAGAAGAGGATGGAATAGCAGCCAGCCGGATGCACTCAATTACAGTGATGACAAATGCACAGTAGGAAGACTAGGTTAGGGACAAATTGTTACGGAGAAAATCCATCTGTGTGGTCACTAAGAATAAAAAATGACTTGATGGTACATTAATAGTCAATATATATGCTGCCCAGGGACAGTTTGAGATGGTTAAAATCAATCAATAAATGATATGAACACATGTACATGTAAACATTACATCTATTCATGCTTCAGATATTCGTGCTTTTAATACTAGTACAAAATCTGTTTGTGACAATGGCAGTACAAAGAGACAAGCCATTTTGAAAATATTAAAAAGGAAAGTGACTTAAGCAAAAACCTTGGGGGTTTTGCCAAGCAGCTGTGCAGCTGTTACCAATGGGAAAGGAAAACGGTGGTCAGAAAGAACTTCAGTTGAGTTTGTCAGTTACAAACACACATTTTCAGAGGCATCCTTGTTCCCTGAAATGATGCTGTGGGCTTTCCAAATGAACTTGGCCTGGAGGCCATTTGGGCATCTCTTGATCATTGCAGTTCTCCAGCTTCTGACATGTGAGTAAAATTTTCAGCACTTCTTTGGAAAAGAAAAAGAAAAGCTATTGGAAAAACATAGGTGAGTTACATAAATAAGACAATGGTGTTGGAAGACCTGTAAAATTCTGTGAATGAAGAAAAGTGACTGCACAAGGAGAGGGGAAAGAACTATATTTTTATGGAAAAAGAGATATATCCCAGTGAACCTCCAAAAATAACAATAATCTTAATTGTTTTTCTGTAAACTAATTTTGTGCATGCATCTTTATAATAAACCATTTCTTTGGATAACAGGTCACCCCTCCTTAGGTCTATTTTCAACTCTGACACCACCACTCTACCTGGAAATAAATGGTGAAAGAAAGACCCTGATTGTATGTTTGGTGAATGACTTCTCGGAGGACTCACTGGGAGTCACGTGGTTTTCCAATGGAAACGGGAGCATGTTGGACGCTTATACTTATGGCATTTTCAAGGAAGAAGATGGCTCTTTCAGCACAATCTCACAAATTTCCATACCCAGCAAAGAATTTGAATCATGGAATATTGTCATTTGCTCGGTTGCACAAAATCAAAACTCAAGAATATGGAACACTACCTCTCTACAAATCTCTGGTATTTATCAAAGGGGGAGGGAAATATTTAAGTGTAAAAAAAGACATTAAATTATAATATTGTGGCTGGGTTCATAAATTGCATTAATTCTGACTTACTTAACCATTGTTTATTAAATAAAGCGGAGTTGGCTACTTTAGCATGTCATGCTGAATAATTTTATGGCTTACAAGTATGACTGAATTCACAAAATAAGCTAAAACCAAACATACTGGGGCTTTGCTTCCCAAAGTAAAGTAATAAATTAATTTGTGCACACTGGCCCCATATAAATAGAAGTAGCAATTTTATTAGAGTTGGCCAGGCCAGAAATAAATATACCAGTTATCTCTGATAACTAAAGTGGGTGCTTAAAAATTGTGAAGTCTTCTGAATTTTCAATATTTTTGCATAAATATTATGTAAAACATCATCTATTCTTCACACAAGTCCTAAAAACTAGATGAAGAGAACTCAGTTAAAAATCAATCTGTTCATTAACTTTACTAAAGACATGAATTACTTGGAAGCTTTAAGGATTCAAAAAAAGAATATTTCACAGTTACTATTATTTTTTTCCAGAAGAACAATATATGGATGATCTATGTCTGTATGAAAATCAAGGAGGTAAATACAGAATATTTCCTTATTTTCCAAGTAGTTAGAGAGTAAGCATCTAGAGCAGTGGTTCTCAACCTTTTTAATGCCGCGACCCCCAACCGGTCGTAAGTCGAGGACTAAACCGGTCGTAAGTCGAGGACTAAACCGGTCGTAAGTTGAGGACTACCCAACCGGTCGTAAGTCGAGGACTTTCCCTGCCTGGGAGCACCACACATGCGTGGTTCTGCCCCCTGCGCCGACCGAGGCGTAGCTGGCAAGCGGCAGAGACGGAGCAGGCCGACCACCAGCTGGCCCAGCCCAAGGGAGGTAAGGCACCGCCGGAAAAGGGGGGGAAAAATGGCGGACAGCCTTGCTTGGCAACCCCCGTGAAATGGTCGATCGACCCCAAATGGGGTCGCGACCCATAGGTTGAGAACCGCTGATCTAGAGGGAAGTTACTTTGCTTCATTCGATCACTTTTTATGGACCATTCAATTGATCACTGTTATTGTGCTCTATCTTTTCTCAGACAACAGAAAGGCTGTCCTTGTAGCATTCGGAAACTTCAACTAGTGGAAATGTGGCTGCAAGAGTAATAAATGGTGCCGATTACATGACACATGTAGCACCAGTGCTCCATGAGCTGCGCTACCTGCCAGTGTGTTTCCGGGTGCAGTTCAAGGTGCTTGTTGTCACCTTTAAAGCCCTACGTAGCTTGATACTGGGTTACCTGAGGAACTGTCCTTTTCCACAAGTTTCTACCCATACAATCTGATCCAACAGATTGGGCATGCTGTAGATCCCATCAGCCAAAGAGTGTCAGCTGCCAGGAACAGAAGAATGTTTTTTTTTTAATGTAGTCCTGCGTTATGGGATATTCTTCCCTTGAAGATTAAAATGGCCCCAGTCCTGTTGGCTTTTTGCAAAACTGTAAAAAACCTGACTGTGTATACAGGCCTGTGGCTTGGAATGTGTTAAAGGCCCATTACTTAGTTTTACTATTAGATGATTAATTATCACAGCTGCTACTTGCAGCTATTGATTTTGTGGATATTTAATCATTTTAATGCTTTTTTAATTGTTTTATAATTTTAAAATTGTAAGCTGTCCAGAATCACTTATTTGAGTTGGGCGGCTATGGAAATGTAAATAAATCATTCCAAAGAAAACCTATTGAGGAAGTTTAACCTTTAACCTAATTCACAGAATGTGGTCAAAATGTTGCATGTTTGAATACTATATTTTTGTTTACATTAAAATGATTTCTATGTGACTAAAATAGCTGAAGAGGCAGATTGAAATAATATTTGATTTTTCAACCAACAGAGCAAATGACTTGTAAAACTGTAGTGACACACATTCATAATTTACTGTACAGTAATACCTCCTAATTCTGAATTTGTAGTTTAAAGTAAGTTCAAAGAGATAGCTAATAAAAGCACAGAATAATTCATGTGAGAACATCAGGACCAAAAATGTCTGAATATCTGCTGCAAATATTGCTATATAATACTGTTTTTGTTTGCTTTTTATAGCAGTGGAGGAACAGATGTTGTCCATTGAAATTCTGCATAATCGCACACAAGAATTACATCTTCTGGCCATCAGAACTTTGCTATTCAAGTTCCTAATGTTTAATGTGCTGATGACCTGCTGCATTCTTTACAAAAGATAAATAAAACCGTAGCGCATTGTTACCATAAGCTCAAATTATAAAAAATGAACATGAAAAGAGCTGCTAACACTATTTTTAAAATGCATGAAGTGCTTCAAGGAATCTGGAACAGAATGCTTCAAATAGTGATGAATTGAAATTGGGCATCTGTTTATCGGATATGCTATGAATATAACACAAAGTAGATTATAGCGCCTTTGAGGTCACTTTCAATCCTATTATTTTGTGATGTCCATTCAGAATTCCACGATCGTAAGAAAGTATCCAGTTATTAACTCCCAGACTCCAACAACTGAATGATGAAAGCAATCTTTGACAGAACTGTTGATCAGTGGGGGAACTCTGCATTTGGTGGCTTAAAGACACATCGGACTGATTTCATGTTGCTGCTTAATCATCATCAGGATTAATGCAATGTAAGAATTTAAAATGTGCTGCCTTAATCATTTATTAAACCATTTACGATTGATTAAAGCATCATCATTATCATCATCATCTTTTTTCAGGCTTGTGTGGAAGTTTGAAAAAAGATGAGCATGCATTAATATCAATATCAGCAACTTTAAGATGTATGGATTTCAGCTCCCAGAATTTCCCAGCCAACATCCCTTTTCTCCATTTTGTGGGTTCCCTTAGTCCCCTGTGGTGGAGGTGGCTGCTTTGTTTATTGGTGCTTTTTTTCTCTCTCATTAAAGGTTTTGATATCCTTACTTGGGTTGTTTTTCTTTTCATGAGCCATTTTGCAGGGAGCATCTTAAGAATTGGGGAAATGGAGAAGGGAAGGGAATCCTTTTTAGTTCTCCCACTGGCATCTTACCTTCTGCCTTTTATGTACCTGTAGAGGAAGGAAGGAAAACAGGTTGCTAGAAAAGTATCCTTAGATTTGAGTATTGTAAACATGATGGGGATTATTGAAAGGAAACAGGTAAAAGGAAAAACGACAACAGGTAGAGGCAACTGGAATGAGAGGAGTAAATTTTTGTGTAGATCAGAACTTGGGACACTGCTAGTTTTTTCTTCTTCTTCTTCCCATTTTCCTCCCTTCCCCTCACTATTGCCTCTCCTGCTAACAGGGGAGGGGCTAAGATATTACAACCCCTTTCTAACATTAGTTTAGTGCAATAGTGCAATGGCTTATGAGATTCCAGGCATTTCCTGGAGAAAGTAGATGGCAGTTCCATATTCCCAACTGCTGAATCTCTGACTCGGTTAATAAGACTGTCAGATATACTGGCAAAGATAAGTAGGCCAGCAACTATTTGTATTGTTTGTATTGTAGTAATATGTCAAATGAAGAGTTACAAAAATGAACTGAGGGCAGGTAGCTCCAGGTTAGGAAATCTAAAGTTTACACCTGTAGTAACTGTAGAATAATGACCTATTTAATTGTGGCATAGAGAGATTCCAGTTTTAAAGTTATTTGTGCCACAAGCTTATGGAACAATTCTTTTGACTTTTAGTTTCTCTCAAGAATAGAATAGAATAGAATAGAATAGAATAGAATAGAATCTGAAAGGGACCTTGGAGGTCTTCTAGTCCAGCCCCCTGCTCAAGCAAGAGGACCTATACCATCTCAGACAAGTGACTGTCCAGTCTCTTCTAAAAAATCTCCAGTGATGGAGCGCCCACGATTTCTGGAGGCAAGCTATTCCACTGGTTAATTGTCCTCACTGTCAGGAAGTTTCTCCTTAATTCCAGGTTGCTTCTCTCTTTGATCAGTTTCCAACCATTATTTTTTGCCCTGCCTTCTAGTGCTTTGGTGAATAACGTGACCCCCTCTTCTTGGTGGCAACCCCTCAAATACTGGAATACTGCTATCATGTCTCCCCTATTTCTTCTTTTTTTTAGACTAGCCAAACCCAAGTCCTGCAGCCGTTCTTCGTATGTTTTAGTCTCATGGCCTTTAATCATCTTAGTTGCTCTTCTCTGAATTTTCTCCAAACTCTCAACATCTTTTTTGTGATATGGTGACTAGAATTGTCTGGAGTATTCCAGGTGTGGCCTTATTAGGATTTTATAAAGCAGTACGAATACTTCGTGTGATCTTGATTCTATGCCTCTGTTTATACAACCCAGGATTGTATTAGCATTTTTGAATACTAATGAATTCTCACAACACAATGGATCCAAAAACAGCTAATCCCATTTTAACAGGCTATGCAGATCCAATCAATATGATTTGATTACAATTTAGTGTTTTATACAAAGTCAGTAAATTTGATTAATTAAATCAATGATGGCTAGATTAATTATGAGTAAGCATCTTGTGCAAATATAGCTACATGCCTGTAACGGGAGAGCATCCTACATCCTTCCAACTTCTACTAAATCCAGCCAGTATTGTCAGTGATGAGTGAAACAGGAGCTGTAATTCAGGAACATATGAAAAGCCACAGGTTATCTACTATGAGGTTTGTACATGAGCTTTATAAAGTTCTTGAACTTAATAACGTATGTTTTGAGTTATCATCAAGTGATGAAAGACTAACAACACAATCCAATGTATATTTACATTAAAGGCTCACTGAGCTCAATGATTTCTTCTTCAGTGAATTGGATAATTATTCCTAGTCAGTCCATGTGACAAGTTCAGAGCAAGCATGCATACCATGTAGTTTAGCTAGCAAAAAATACAGCTTGATGTTTATTTTATTACAAAACAGCTAGCAAAATGAGACAAAGCAGGCAAAAGCAGAGAGAAAGAGGGAGGGGGAGGGGGAGGGGGACCACAGGTAAGAATCTACTTTATTTATACATCCACATCTAAATATTAAAAGGCAAGAAACTTCCAGAGTCACAGGAAAAGTATATTGTGGAAAATAAGTACTGTATGGGACAGTTCCAACATGAGTAGCCTTTAGTTATTCCAGTTTTAAATCTTCTATGTATATTGTGGTAGTAGAAGAGAGATGGAAAGTAGGACAGCAGATGATCCCTACTGTATTCTGTAACACAAAGAAAACAATTTCATAGATGAGGATGGGGTATCAGAATGGAATTATGCAATACTATCTGATCCCTAGAAACTTCTGTCTCTCCAGAAACAAAGGACTGCAATTTTGAGATGTGTAGTTTTAAGCAGAGTGAGGACTTCAAGGTAAAGGAAGGTTTTATTAAATCTTTTCCCACTTGTAGCCATACTGATAAAACTGAACACTTACATTTCTATTAAGAAAGGTGGAAGGAAAGAGGACAACCAGGAGCAAGGTGGATACTCAGTGGCAACCGTAGGACACTCCTGGAAGAGCTAAAGGACCAGGCAGGCTAGGGGCAGGTCATCATGGAGATGATGGTCACTTCCAGTGGTCACTAAGAGTTGGTAACAATTTGATGGCACATAATCAAGATTGCAATCATTTACAAATTTATCTAAGAAAAACCACCATTGCTTAATGGAATGTACTACTGACCGCTGCATTTTTGTAAATGAGCATGCCCAAACTGGATGTCTTACAGGTGCACTTCAACTTCCATATTCCCTATTCCTCTATCCAGCAGAGAGAAGCAATTGTGGGAATTGGTCCTATATATTTGGAGGGTGCCCATTTGCAGAAGATTCCTAAGCAGACCCAAAGATATTTTTTCACGAGGCAACTGGACTTTCTCGTTTTTCTTTGAAGACAGCTCTGAAGAAGCTGGATGAGAAGCGAAACGTCTTCAAAGAAAAACAAGAAAGTCCAGTTGCCTCATGAGAAAACGTATTTGGGATAACTACGACCTGGATGACTGAGAATCTCCATAGACTCAGAATGAGGCAGCTGTCTCAGACAGATCCAGGTGAACACCAGCCAAGAGACAGCAAAATGTAATCTCAATCTGCTCTTGCATTTGTACTGCCAGGAAATAACAATTTCAACATATTTTGGCCAGTCCTGAATAGTATATTTCTTTTCTCTTTAAGAGTTAAGAGATGCCAATTTATGCTGTTTCAGCAGCAAAATGTCCGGGGCCTATTTCCAAACAGAGTGCCTGCCAGTTAGTTCTGCTACAACTCCCAGAATTCTCATTTAGTTCCATTAAACAGTGTTTCTCAACCTTGACCATTTTAAGGCATGTGGACTTCAACTCCCAGAATTCCACAGCCAGCAATGCTGGCTGTGGAATTCTGGGAGTTGAAGTCCACATGCCTTAAAATGGTCAAGGTTGAGAAACACTGCATTATAAAATGTTTCAGGCCAAATCTAGTTAGATGCACGAAGCAAAGGAAGGCCCATCTATTCCACATCTTTATTACCATTCTGAATAAAAGAAATCTAAACAACGTAAAGAAAGCACGCCGAACTTCACCCCCCGTACAGCCCTGCGTTATTCAACGTGCCCTTTGATCCAATCAGGGAGCACTTCGACCCACCCCCTTCTTCCCGTCTTTTGCAACGAATGGGGCGAGCGTAACAAACAGGGAGGAAGTCAGACAGGCCAATCAGAGAGCAATGAGGGCAGCACTTCAAGGGGAGGAGGAGGAGGAGGAGGAGGACAAAGCACGCTTATTGGGGCAATGGGAGCGCTATGCGGGTCTTCGATTGGCTGGCAACTGAAGCAATCCGAGCCGTCTGTTGGAGCGTGCCACGACTGGGACCGCAATTGGTTGGTACAGTTGGTTGTTATAGTTACATTAGAAGAGGAGGATCCCGGAAGCGGAGGGCGGATTGTGAGTATTAGTTCGTGCGGCTGTTGTGCCTGTGGCGGCGTGGCAACCTTAAGGGAGGTCTCCGATGGCTTCGTGGGTTCCGGGCGTCTGTGCTTTATTGGCCTTGCTGCTAGTTCCGGCTAGACTGGGGGGAATCGTCGCTGATGACAGCGACTGGGTTAAACTACCCAATAAATGCGAAGGTGAGCTTGGATTCAGGAGTAGGGAGCGAGGGGCGCTGATGGGAGCTGGAACGAGTGGATGAAAACTCTCAAATTTGTAGCGGCAGTTATTTAAACAGAAACTTAAGACCAGGCAAGCTCTTGCTTAAGTAAGGTCCATCCAGGAGGATGATAAACGCACCGTAAAACAGTTATATATATTTTCAAGTATAGCCTCAGAATGAATGGAGCATCGATTTTGTCTTACTTTTGTCGAAAATTACAGTATTCATTAAGGTTCTAGTCCAGTGTTTCTCAACCTTGACAATTTTAAGGCATGTGGACTTCAACTCCCAGAATTCCACAACCAGCATTGCTGGCTGTGGAATTCTGGGAGTTGAAGTCCACATGCCTTAAAATTGTCACGGTTGAGAAACACTGTTCTAGTCTTTAAAATGCTACAATGCTCTGAAAGTGAAACAGTGTTTGGATATAAAGTAATATATTTGTCTCCGGCAGCACTAGATCCATACCTTCTCCTAATTGTGAGCTATTTTTAAGTTGTAATCATGAGAGTGATATATAGTGAAATAGTACAGTAGATTTATAGGATGGGGCAGGCAGCAAAATAGGGAGTAGGGAGTAATTGTGTTTAGAAATTCCTAATATGAGGGAATGTTTATATATTTCTATGTATTATTACATTTGCTTGCTGCCCGTTTGTTTGCTGTAATAATGTAATAACATTAGTGCTACAAAGTTATTTTGGAGGTGTAAAATAAATGATTTTAATCTGGGAATGATGGGATAACTTCCTATTAGCTGCTTGGAGTTTTTAAGACTTGACTGGATATAAATGTTGGTAAATAAAATAAATTCTGTGACAGAACTTTCTTATGATAATGAATGATAGCCGTTAAATGACTGTTTTTCAAAGGAGGCTGCGGCTTTTATTTAAAATTTTGATGGTATTAATAGAATGGAAAAAGGATCTGAAAAAATGTTGTCACTAAAATGAGGCCAGATGAGTAAAAAAGAAAAGAGGAACAGAAAGAACTGTGAGTCCCAGAGTTGTGGGTTTTTAAGGTTTCTGAAGTAGGTAGCATTGTAGTGTAAAGAAAACAAAGTGAATTTAGATTGAGAAAATGAGTTCAGCAAAATGAGTTGTGTGGGCTTATTGGAACAGAGTATGTATGTTTTGTTTTATTATATAAAGAATTTCTGTGGATGCCCAATTTGCAAAAGTATAGCTCTGAGTGGCATAGAGCAATGCATGGAATAAAGAGTTTAGTACTATGTGTATGTGAATTTTCATTATATCCATGCATTATATCCATGCATTATATCCACTCATTAAGTTTTGCAAATGGAGTAGTGAGGCTACTGGATTGCTTTACAATATGTTCATTGCTATAAGCTGGTGGAAAATTGAGTCTATTTCATAGATTTGTATTGCAAGATTAATAATATAGCGGATCAGCAGTCACAATTACCACTACTAATTATTTTGAGGTTTGACTGTATTTAGTTTGCAAGTATGTTGCTGTGGAACTGAAGTCTGCCTTCGATGAAACTGGCAAGACCAAGGAGATGATTGATACAAAATATGGCTTTCTGGATGGCAAAGGATCCAAAATCAAGTACACAAAATCGTAAGTGGAACAAGGTTGCTGAGAAATGTAACAGATTTTTATCGTGGCTAGTCTCTCAGGATCCTGAGAATGGATTGAGGTATAAGCAAAATGCTAAAATAAGTATTATGAAGTAAAGTGCCATAGCATTGACAGACAAAAAACTTGGAGGTAATCAAATGGATGATTAAACTGGCCATTTGTCTTCTGTAATTAAAGCAACCTGAGATTTCATTTTCATAGTTGAAATAATGGACATCCAAAAATGTGATTTAATTTCCAAGCATTCTTTTCTGTCTGCAGGGACATTCGACTGATTGAAGTGATAGAAAACATCTGCAAGAGACTATTGGAGTACAATTTGCACAAAGAAAGATCAGGAAGCAACAGATTTGCAAAGGTTGGTAACTTAGAATTCTTCTAGCATTTATTGCATAATTTTTACAAGCATTAATTTGCACTACTTGTTCCTCACTTTCCTTTGGCTGCCTTGATGTTTTCAAAGTATACTCTTTATTCACTCTATTTTAGGGTATGTCTGAGACATTTGAAACTCTTCATAACTTGGTGCACAAAGGAGTAAAAGTAGTGATGGACATTCCATATGACTTATGGAATGAAACCTCTGCAGAAGTGGCTGATCTTAAGAAACAGGTATGGCAGTTTATTTTTGTATTATTAAAAAGAATTTCTGATAGTACTCATTCAGTTCCACATTATGTTAGATAACTTTGTCTGAGGTTTTCCCTTTCTCTGAATTTTCTATTTCTAGCCTTCAAGGGCTGCAGGGACATGGAGTGGGTGAGGCCTACCTTTTTTTCCAGTTTGGAGGACTGGGGCTTTTAAGTCACAGAAGAATGGATGAGGCTGGGTGAATTCATATACCTTAGGTTATTTCTAAAAAAATATATCATCAATCATTGCTATTCTGCCTCAAAATTTCAGTGTGATGTAATCTGGAGAGGCTCTGAGGAGCCCAAAAAAGAACTTTCAAAATGGTCAGTTACTTTGAAAAATTTAATGAAGCATCCCATTAGCTAAAATTTATGTTAATCTGCATATTTGCAAAGAATTTACAGAAATTGTTTCGTAGGGAAACTGCTGAAGCTTCAGTGGTTTAGTAGGTCTTTACTCTTGAGTCAGCCAATCACCATTTCGGGAAAAAATGTAAATGTATATTTCTAAAGACTGGAGGGCTTCTGAATATGCGGGAGATTTCAAAGTAAGAATCAGTAACGTAAAGCTTGAGTCACAGAGAGAAATCAGGCCTTGGGTATGTCTGGGTATGGTCTTCTTTTTGGAGAGGGGTGCAGTCTGCTTTGTACAGTCAGGCTAGAAGGCACATGATAACAGAATTTCCTGGAGCAAAGCAGAGCCAGATATAGTCAGAGCCGGGATGGGAGATTATCCAGAAATCCTTCATACACTGGCTTTAATTATGTGATGGGGGAAAATATAATTAATATAGGTTAACTTACTGCTGTCATCTCAAAGCAAGGACCCTTTTACAGTAATACTGCAGTATTGCAGGAGTATTACAGGAGCAGCTTATCTCCTGCTTATTATTCCCAGTATAAAAAGAATATTCAATGTTACCAATTGTGCAGACTCAGTGTCAAGAGGTATGTGAGGATTTTTAAATTTATTTTAAAATATTGGTTTCCTGTTTTTCTACCCATTAGGATCCACAAGGCAATAAACACTTTTAGTAATGTATTAAAAATATGATAAAACTCTTGAGGCCACTCAGTGAATTCAAGATAGAAGGTTCAAAATTGTGACTTATCTCAAACAGAAGAAGCTCTCTTTTCAAGTAATCTTACAGCAACAAAAGCAGTGAAAAGGGGGAATCACCTGTCACTTTACGATATCTCTTGCCTAAAAATGCTTTCCTGACATAGCTATCTATTGCCTGGACTCCATGTTTTAGGGGCCAGGAAGGCAATTCTGAGGCATTATTCTAAAGTGTAGGTGCTGCCTAAAATAATCCTGTCATATGTAGCCATCTGTACATATCAAATAGTGGAGGAGAAAAGAGATTTGAGCTTTTATTCGTATTAGCACTCATTTTTAGATTCAGCTTTACAAAAAGAAGGCTTTTTAAAATAAAAAATGTAAATCTAGAATTCTAAAAATATTGAAAATAGTACTTTTCTACTCCTTTCTCTTTTGTTATTTTTGGGCTGTTTCTGTTATTCTTCAATGATTGGATTCTGGGGCACCTGAGTAGCCATTTTATAACAAATTAAATTATCAGTAGGATGTGAATGGATATGGAGTGAAATCTTAGGTTTGTAGCTTCCTCTGCAGAATCATACTGTAATGATTTTGGTTTCTCTCTCATTTTGTCTGATAGTGTGAGACAATGGTGGAAGAATATGAAGATGTGATTGAAGATTGGTATAAAAACCATCAGCAAGAAGACATTTCCCAGTTTCTATGTGCAAATCACGTGTTGAAAGGAAAGGACACCAGTGAGTTTCCCTTTCATGGAATTGATTAATGTGGGTGGCTGGGATGTAGGGATGC